CTCATTGCAAGGCTGTAACATAACTGGGATCAGATGGCGACCGCCGACCGACCGACCTCCTCCTTCCCTGCGCATTCCACCCAATCTCCTTCTCATCCTCCTTCGCCCCACTTCCTTATAGATGAGCCCCGTGGTCGCACCACCTAGCGTGTCAGTAGGTCGGGCTGGTGACTTCGTCTGGAGCATCTTGAAATTTGTTACTAGATTGGAGCTGTACAAATCTCGCAGTCACGCTGACGGATAGTGGTTGGGTTTCAGCAAGTGGTTCCCATACATTCGCCCTTACACGGTTCCAACATGTTGGTCGACGGAAGGTGGGTCGTTTTCAAAACGATGTTTCGCTTTATCGCCGCGCGCGATTGTCATCAAATCTTACAGATGTTGCACGTATGGAGGGCGGTTGGTTTCCGAAATGCGCTCTGGGGTGAAGTTCAATTGCGTTGTCTGACCAGAATTTACACATGTCGCCGCACGGTTTGTCCCGACCCGCGGCCTTCCGTCTTCGGGCCGGCGCCGCGGCCACCAGGGCAAACTCCACTTCGGACGCAAGGTTTACAGTGTGGTTTGCCGCGGTGCCAGCTTCGTCAACTTGGCCGTGTTCAGGACAAACGGCGCGGCGACACTGATTCAATCGTCACGCTCCTGTTTGAGATGAGGCTCTCGCTAAGTAGTTTCTGTCGCTGTGTGGTCAGAGACTCAGAACTGCTCAGCAGCTAGACGGATTGAGCACGGCTTCTTTTCCTTTCGGGGTCTGCGCTCGACATATGTCGTTTGCTCTTTTTTGGGGTATACATATCTATATATATATAGGTACATATATGGATTCATTAAGGCTTGAAGCGGGCCGTCTTTCAACATGTTTCTTGTCTCCCGAGAGGCAATCCCATGGGGCGTCCTTCTTTCAAGAGGGTGGTTCATCGGCGCAGTGAGTTATGAGGGAGGCGGGCTTGAGATGGGAGGGCGCGGTGCCGTATCATTGACGCGTCTCGGGTTCTCTCAGATTATAGTCTTACTCGTCGTCCTCATCGTCCTCCTGCTCTTCCTCGACTTTCATTATCGCCCCATTTTCCTGCACTATCAGTCCTCACTCCCAGCTCCCCCTCCTTCTCACCCACTGTCATTGTCATTCCCCTGCTCTGCCGACCTGAAGTTGATATGGTATTATATTTCTCAGAGTGCCAACATGGTGCTCGGCAGTTACTCCGTGGCCCAAGAACCAAAATCAGCTTGCTGATGCTCGCAAGGCAACTTTCAGATGCGTTACCTGAGCCGTGCGTTTTGCTCCATGGCGACATGGTCCCAGCTTTCGATCGCACTACTAGGGTAGTTTAACGCGGCGAGCGCGCTCGGTACCTTCCCTTCCGGCTTGCGTGTCCAGGGCTCAATATCAGGAGGGAGGACGCCGAGCATTTACGCCGGCGTTCGGCAGACAGTGGCCAGTGAAGCGGCGCAGACTTGATTTGTTCTGTGCAAGATTACGCCATGGGTGTCGGGTGCACCCATGAGCGGCTCGCGTTTCTTTGATACACATATATATGTACATTCGCTTGCGTTTCCTCTTAACGTCGGATCACGATGAATTCTATTTCCCCCGCTCCCCTGAAGAACATGAGCTGACTACTAGCACCCAGCCTCTTGCGCTCTCGGGCTTCTCGAGATGGAAATCCGTTAGGGGCGATGGGTTTGTGTTGTCAGCTGGGGCCCCCTGCTCGAAAGGGAGCCCCCCTCGGGGTCCAACAACCCGCACCAACACCTATAGCGCCTTGATTTGTTTTTCTTCACCATTGTTCCTCCCTGAGGTTTGAGAGAAGTGGCCTGCCCCCTCCTTGTATGTTTTTTCCCACACACGATTTCAAAAGTTAGGTGCTGTATCTGTCTTTCAGTCGGAGCGTTTTCGTTGCCTCAGCGTGATATTCCCGCTGTAGCGTGGGCCTCATTTTCGGATCGACGATTTGCTCCCGTCGTTCGGAATGCCTTTTTCATCGCTGTTGCCCCCTAATTTCCACTCCTCCGCCTTCCCCTGGTCCTCTTGCTCCTTCCGCTCCTTCGACTCCAGCTCCTGCTGCTGATGTTCGTCCTCGTCCTCCTCCTTCCTCATCCTCAGGTTCCTCCCGCTCATCCTCCTGCTCATCCGCCGCCTCCTCTTCCTCCAATGTACGCAGCCCCTCCCTTTGGAGTTCCAGGTCAGCTATGCCGCGCGTCGGTGGATACAGAGACCAAAGCAATGGGGAGGTTATGGGTGGGAGGGGTAGGGTGTCACAGATGGTGCGGGCACGCCTGCCCTCCAATCACCTCCTTTCTGTAAGCATATAGCTACATGTAAATATAACTGTATGTGTACATATAACACAGTTCACTCTCCTCTCGCTCGGTTCCTCCTCCTTGCCGACCTTGTGTATGAGTTGCACGCTTGGCTTATTCGGTGGAAGGAGATGCCCACTCAGCTTCATCGCCCACATCGCTTCATCGTCGCTGCAGTTGATGGTGGACTGTGGTGCGTGAATGGTGGATGGTACCCGTGCAGGCACTGTCACAGGAACGGCGCGGCGCGCCACGGCACGCCGGAGGGGTGCCCGAGGATTGAGCCTAGGGCTTGGCGCCGTGACCTTCCCGAGCTGTTGGTAGCAGGGTCCGCATGGTGGATTTCTGCGACGATGAACAATGTAATTCCAAATCGTGAAGGAAACGGGGTTTCCAACCTCGACCGGTCGTTTGCCAAGTAGCGTTTGCTTGAAGGGTTTCTTGGTTCCCGTCTGCCCAGAAAGATTGCTTTGGCCTTGTGGAAGTTCTGCTGGCAGGGACCCCGAACTCTGATGACTCGATTTCCTCAGGTCCCCAGCCCCTGGACCAAGACCCATTCTGGGGCCAGTCTTCCCGCTGCGCCGCTGTCTCTGTCGGCCCTCAGAGCCGGAAACAAGGCTCCCGTAGACGCAGAGGGCAGCGAGGAACTTCCAAGGCGATGCATGTCAGCAGCCACGGGTGAGGGGACGAGTCCGCGTCAATTCTTTCGGATGCAACTCCTCGGAGGTCAAATTCTGACTTTGCCCTGGTTCGAAATCCAGCTCGATCCGGCTTTTTCCCGTTTTTTCCTGCGTAATCCAGCTGAATCCCGCATAATCCGCTGCCCAATCTGGCTTAGCAGCCCCCAGATGAGGCTTAATCTTCTCTCTAATCCTTCCGACGAAGACCTCCCAGTAGTTGCCTCCTAGCATGTGCCTGGTGTGGTGGGCAGTTGGCTGGCCGCGGCTAGACCTCCCGGTTGTGTCGCCCCGGGTGGCCGTTGTCATGGGCTCGGCGCGACCTGTGTTGGCCGCAAATAAGCCGCAGCTGCCCTCCCGTGGCCGCTCGCTGTGGTTCTTCGGCGGGAGCTCGGCTGGCCGCCGGCAAGTGCGCCACTTGGTGAGAATCGGAGGACGCGCATTGGGGGGGCGATAAATGGGGGGAGCAGCGAGGGCTGCCGAAAAGGTGCCCTGTCGAGCCTCTGAAGGGGCCCTTTCGGGTCACAAAGGGTGCCTTTAGGGCCCGAGAAGGGCACCTATCCCCCCCCCCACGACAACGCTAACGATAACGATAACAACGACAACGATACTGATAACGATAACGACGATAAAGATTTCAACGATAAGTAACGATAACAACGGTACCGATCACACCGACACCGATCACAACGATCGCAATGATAACGATAGCGGTCACCATAAGTATCGTTATAGTATCGTTGTTAACGGTGTTATCGTTATCCTTATCGGTATCGTGCATTGCCCCCCTTTAATTCGCGCCCAAGGGAAGCCCCTGCTCGGCCGCGGTTGCTCCAAGGAGGCCGCGGCGAGCTGCTCTGGCGGGAGCTCGGCCAGCCGCGTCCCGGCAGCCTGCTCTGTTCTTCGGCCGCGGTTCGGCTCGGCCCGAGCGCCCTGGCCGGAGGGCACCGCACTGTGAATGCAATATGCATGTGTTGTTTGTTACTTCTCTCTGTCTTCTACCTCCTCCTCCTCGTCCTCCTCCTCCTCCTCCTCTTGCCTTGTTTGGCAGGCGCAGTGGCTGTGAACGCTTGAGCTCAGACTTTTCCCGCCCACTAGCAGGACGGCGTACGGTTTCGTGTGTGTGTGTGTGTGTGTGTTTGAGTGTGGCCGCTGTCTGGCCAGTCGGCGGCCGTGTCTCGCCATTCTGCTGAGCGGGGGGTCCCGACGTGCCCCGAGGGGCCGTTTCGTTGGCCCTGTGGTCCGCACGGCACCAGTCCCAGGCGGCCCGATGCCCATCTCTCGGCGAGAGCTCGGGGACCTCCTCCTCGTCCTGCGCAGCCTGCCGCTGCTCTGTTTCTCCGCCCTCGCCTTTGCATCTGCTGTCGGCATGTTTCTCCTGCTGCTCCTCGTTCCCTCCTCTTCTCCTGTTCCCCCTGCTCCCCTACCTCCCTTCCTCCCCTCCTCGTCCTCCGACCCTTATTCCTCCTCTCCCTCGTCCTCTCCCTCGTCCTTCTCCGCCTCCTCGACCTTCTCATTTCCCTCCGCATCCTCTCGCGTGGTCTCGCGGAAGCACCATTGGAGACCCATGACATATTAAGCAGCTTGGCTTTCCCTCCCCGGCCAGACTTGCTCTGAGCGTTTGAACTGTCTGCGTACGGATGTGACCCAGAGTGCGTTTGAGGCATGAGTTTGAGTTATGATGTGGGTGCACTGGCGCACATGTACACCTGAGGGGTGAACGTCCCGTGCAGGTCGTCGTGTCGACCATGGGGTACGTCTATCTGCACAAGGGGGCGGGGGCTCGAGCACAAGAGAGCTCCCCTGCGCTCGAAAACATTTAGTCAGTCGCCAGCGATGTCTCCAGAGGTTCGGTTGCAGCTTCTGGGAGGTTGGACATGTCATCGACCTCGCTAACCAGCGTGGTACTCTACCAAGCTCAGTCTGGCCCACCCTGCCAAATCAAGGCCAAGGCTGGCTCGCCCTGGCCTGGCAAGTCCCTAACCCAGCTTACCAGCAGGTCCCAACTGTCATGGGCGACTTCGTAACAACAACGACTGCTTGGCTGAGAGAACCGCCCCTGGCGCCCTGCCATGGCTGACCTCGACCCCCCAGCGGTAATCGCTTGCGCGAGGGGCATAAAGGGGTCGACCCTGGGAGGGGGGCGACGGGGGCGGCTTCCTCCGCCCCGCAGTTGTCGTTATCTGCTCTTGGCTCAGGAGGACTTCCGGGCGCTTCCATCCAGTGTCTCTGAGGAGGAAAAGGTGCCCATACCGCTATCCTCGGCTCGTTTTCCCCGTTTGGGAGGCCCTCGTCGGCACCGCTGGATTCGACTGGAAGTCCTGGCCAGAACGCGCCCTGGGAGAGGTCTGGGGAGGGGCGCTATTGGTACTTCCTGGTCTCTCCAATGCTCCTCCGCTTCCTCCTCATCCGGTGGAGTACTTCTTTCTGGACTCCAACATCTTCGACTCCCAGGCCCCAGACGTCGACCAGCGCTGGTGGCGTGCACAGGGGGGTGCAGGACCAGGGGGGCCGCCCTTCCGGGAGTCCACGCGCTGGCCTCATGGGAGGGCCCGGCCCATCTCCTCATCACGAGTTTGGTTTGTGCAGTCGAGGCGCCGGGGGCGTCCCTGCGCTCAGGGTCCCCAGATGGCAGCACGATGGCTGCAGGGGTCGGCCCTCCCAGAATGGAGGGCAGACGCCCCCGAGTCCTGCGCTCCGCGCCCCACGCACTCTGCACCTCCTGGGGCGACGTGGCCCTCAGAAGGGCCCCGTGCCCCCCTGGCGTGCCCTCTCTCAGCGGGCTCGACCCCTGGGAGGCCTCTCGGCAGAGAAAGCTTCCTATAAGGCAGGACTCCTGGAAGGCCACCCGAGCGGCGTGGCGCCCTGTTCTCGGGAGGCCGCCTCCCCCCTCCCCCCACGCCCCGCCCTGGAGTGCCGGCGCTGTGGCACAAATGCGCCGCGTTTCGCGCCGGCGGCGTGTGGGAATGCCTAGGGGTGACCGAGGATGGGTAGCAGCAGCACGTCGGTGGCGATCTGCACCAAAGCGCCCGTGTACACCACAGTGCCTGCGTGCACCACAGCGCATGTGTACACCACACCGCCGATGAACGCTACAGCAGCCGCCTGCAACACAACGCCAGTGTGTGCCACAGTGCCTTCGTGCACCACAGCGCTTGTGTACACCAAAGCGCCTGCGTACACCACATCAGCCGTGCGCACCAGTGTACACCACAGTGCCTGCGTGCACCACGGCACGCGTGTACACCACGGCGCTTCGCCACAGCAGCCGTGCGCAACAGAACACCATTGTAACATATCGAATGTTAGAAGGAATCCTCATGACAAAATGGAACGCCTGTGGCGTCCACAGAAAAAGTTGTTTTATATAGGATTTGGACTGGAGCTTGCATGGAAAAAGGAACGCCGCTTGAATCTACGAGCCATGCCGGATACTCACGCATCATCGTAGCTCCTCCCATCTGCATTCGGGAGGCTCCCCCAGAATTGGCCGTCCGAGAACTAAGCGGACCGATTGAATCGACCATTCTGCGGTGCACGCTGAGATGCGCACGTGCGTGCACCGCCGACCCGAACAACGGGGTAAGGGTGAGAGAGGAGGAGGAGGAGGAGGAGAAGGAGGAGGTGGAGAGGGAACAGGAAAAAGGAACAGGAGGAGGAGGAGGCGCAGGAGGAGGAGGAGGAGGAAGGGGAGGAGGAGGAGGAGGACGAGGAGGAAAAGGATGATGATGATGAGGAGGAGGAGAAAATGAAGAACATTACTACTATTAGTAATGAGGAAACGAATAAGAATAAGGAGAAGAAGACGAAGAGGAGGAGGAGAAAGAGGAGGAGGAAGAGGAGGAGGAGACGGAGGAGGGAAATGAGGAGAAGGAAGAGGAGGAGGAGGAGGAGGAGGAGACGGAGGAGGAGGAAGAGGAGGAGGAGAAGGGAAGAACAGTGCATTTTTTTGTCAGCGCATTCCTGGCTTGGCGTTTAGCTGTCAGCAGCAGATCCTCACCGACATGCTCCTTCTACCTGTCCTGTGCACGCAAGCGCTGTGGTGTACACCAGCGCTTCGTTGCACGCGGATGCTGACACAAGCGCTGTGGTGTGCACAGGCGGTGTGGTGCATGCGAGCACTGCGGTGTACACAGTTGCTGTGTTGCACATGGTTGCTGCGGTGTACACATCCGCTGTGGTGTACACAGGCGCAGTGGTGGACGCAAGCACTGTGGTGTTCTCAAGCGGTGCGTTGCACACGGCTGCTGCGTTGTACAGGGGCGTTGTGGTGTACACGCGCGCTGTGGTGCACGCGAGCACTGTGGTGTACACAGGCGCTGTGGTGCAGATCGACACCTGCATGCTGCCGCTCCTACTTGGCCTCGGTCATCCCTAGTCATTCCTGGACGCCGCCTGTGCAGAACGTGACGTCATCTAGGAGTGGGGTGTGGGGGCGGTGCCAATGAGGCCGCTATTCCAGATCATACAACATAGAACTCCTACTGTGATCGTCGCGGGGGCTGCCGCCGTCCGGTCTTGCCTTGCCAGAGCGTAGATTTGAAACAAGATATAGCAGGATTTCTTATCGGGCCTCATTTTCTGACGTTCCGGCGCTCCGGCGCCACATTTGCAGCACCTTCGACGGTGCCCATGTGCGGGCGTGATTCGTGCTTCGTGCTTCGTGCATCATAGGGGGTTGTAAGCGGATGCCAAGGTGGTTATGTCTGGCCCAAGTTAGTCCATAAGTGGCTTAAAATGCTCGGGTTTGCCCACTTGGTCTAAAGCGGAGCCTTCTTAGCGGAGATACCCCAGCTTTTTGAACTGGTTAGGACACACGTCGCCCTTTTAAGAGCCATGCCAGGCCAGATATAACCCACTTTGGCATCCGCTTGCAACCCCTATCCCAGTAGCACCCCCCGCGCCGATCCCAGTAAGCCAGGACATTGCGAACCAGGATTCGAGAGCACGAAGTACGGAGAAGGTTCCGACCCACGGCAGCAGTTTTCCCGGGCGCGCTTAGAAGTTCTGGTTTACCGCAGTCCCCGTCTGAAGGGCCCTAAGCAGCCCCACGAGCAAAATTACGGCAAGAGCTGTCGGCCCAGTGATCGGGTGTTGTTACAAGTGGCCGCGGCCCAAGGTGACCTTAGCTTTCCCTGGGAGGCACAGGTGACTGCCAGAGCACCTTTCACGGTGCCCAGAGGGCCCCAGAGTCCCCCACATGGAGCGAGAAGCTGAGGGGACCTTGGGCCCAGACCGCTTCCAGCATCACCCGAAATTCCTCTTCAGCATCCTTCGATTCCGATCCATCCGAGGGAGCCCTATGGTCGCCGAGCGCGTTCCACTACTCGCAAAGTGTCCACTCGCAAACGTCAGAAAAAAAACACCTGTCTGCTTTGATGTAGTTTATCGTAGATCCCCAGCGGGGGATCCAGGCCATTCGCGAGTTGTTACTTTGCGAGTAGTGGAACGCCCTCGTCGATATGGGGTCGCCAGAAGTTGGGCTGACGCGCAGGACGTGCGACCGTCGGATATTGGGGGCCCCGCCCAGTGCTTCCTGCCGCTGTTGGGCGCCTTGGCGTTTCCCCTTGCGGGGTCCCTGGGCCTCTAGCGGGGACCGGCTTCTCATGGCCCGGGTCGTTCTTGAAGGTTCCCGCGGTCCGAACACGACCCCTGGAGGCCGAATGGGACAACAGCGTTGATGTTTTGATTTCTTCAAAAAGTCGTCGGACCCTGACATCCAGGGCCACGGAACAGCTACGACATCCTCGCCTGAGCTCTAGACCTCATTGAATGCGGCAGCTCTCGAGCCGAGTCGATCCGTGGGTCCTCGTGGCCCGAAGCCCGGCGAAATCGCCAGGCGTGATAAGATTGCTACGCCCGGACCCCAGACATCACCCGCAGTGAGTTGTACAATGCGCGACCCAAGAGGTTCGACCCTTTTCCCTGGGAGCTGTTTTTGGTCCAGGATGCGTGTTTGATGGCCCCAGGGTTCGATAACGGACCCTGGAGGCCGAATTGAAAGAAAAACGCATTCATTGAACACCGCATGTCGCCTCTTCTTTTTTCTTGTTCAACGCGGGGGGCCAAGGCGTTGTTTCTCACCTCGAGTCGTTTTGCTTGTCGGTCCCAGGACCCCCAGTAGCCGAAATCTGCCCCCCCCCCCACACACTGCGCCGTGAGCATGTTTGCGACTGATGACTGCGACGCCTCTCTCCTCCTCCTCCTCCTCCTCCTCCTCCTCCTCCTCCTCCTCCTCCTCCTCCTCCTGTTCCTCTTCTTTTTCATCCTCCTCCTTCTTCTCCTCCTCCTCCTGTTCCTCCTCTTCCTTCTCCTCCTCCTCCTTCTCCTCTTCCTCGTCCTCCTCCACCTCCTCTTCCTCCTCCTCCTCCTCCTCCTCCTCCACCCTGTTCCTCCTCCTCGTTCTTCTCCTCCTTCGCCTCCTTTTTCCGCATTTCCCCCTCCCCTCGTTCCTCAGTCAAGATCGTCCCTCTGCTTACCGTATCTTCCGTTTCAGCCTCATTTCGCAGTTTTCCCATGTGCTCCTGCCCCCACATTCTCCTCATCTCCTCTCCTTATCCTCCTCTTCCTCTTCTCCTCCTCCTCCTCCTCCGCCCCCTCCTTCTCCTCCTCCTCTTCCTCCTCCTCCTCATTATCATCACCATCATCGTCAGCATCATCATCATCAGCATCATCATCATCAGCATCATCATCATGATCATCATCATCATCATCACCATCATGATCATCATCATCATCATCATCATCATCATCATCATCATCATCACCATCATTACCATCATCGTAATCATCATCATCACCATCCTCATCCTCATCATCATCATCACCATCATCATCATCAGCATCATCATCATTACCATCATTACCATCATCGTCATCATCATCATCACCATCCTCATCCTCATCCTCATCCTCACAATCATCGTCTTCTTCATCATCACCATCATCATCATCAGCATCATTATCATCAGTCTGGCGTGATTGCGTAACTGCGACGCCTGGATCTCGGGGGAGGCCTCGCACCCCCCGCTGCGCGCCGCCGGGCCAGCGCCACAACCTCTGCAGCGCGGAGCACAACGCGCAGAACGCCTCCTGCGGGCCCGAGGGCCCTGCCTCGGTGGAGGACTGCCCCGCCTGGTTCGGCCGCCTCTGGGCTGGGCAGATGGCCCCTCGGGAGAAGGCAAAAGCCCTTCTTCCTCCTCCTCCTCCTCCTCCTCCTGCTTCTCCTCCTCCTGCTCCTCCTCCTCCTCCTTCCTCTCCTCCTCTCTCCTCCTCTCCCTCCTCCACTCCTCCTCCTCCTCCTCCTCCTCCTCCTCCTCCTCCTCCTCCTCCTCCTCCTCCTCCTCCTCTTGCTCCTCCTCCTCCTCCTTCTCCTATTCCTCCGTCTGGTGGGGAGCATCATGTTCCCGAAGGCTCTCCTTGAGCATGACGGTTTCGGCCGTGTTGGGCCCCCGTGGAAGCTTTTGTAGGGCTCTCTTGGGGTAACGAGGCTCATGTGGGGGACCAACCGAGATCTGCTCCCCCAGGCCGGGTGTTCCCAGAGGTGCCTCTTCGAAGAGCAGGGAGCGGCATATACACAAAAGTTCAGTGGTCCGCTTGGGCCCCCGCGGCGCCTCCGGCGCTGCCCCTGGCGCGCCCCGCGCGCCGATGGAAGAAATCCGCGCGGACATCCATGAAATTTGGTTATGCCATTTGTTCCTCCGTCCCTGACCCACGGTGTCCCCAGGACTTCCAGGGAGGCCCCCATGGCCGCCAGAGCACCTCTCGCATGGCCCTTAGAGCCGCCAGGAGCCTCCGCTGGCCAGGGGCACATGGTGGCAACCCCCGATCCGTCCTCTACCTCTTCGACCTTGGCCGCCCCGAGGCCTGGCTGGATCAGCACCTCGGCAACTCGGCGGCCGACTGGCAGGCACACCCGAGGGCGGCAAGGGAGTCATTCATGTTTGCTTACGTTTCTAGCGAGCTTTTCGAGGCGCAGGGGCGGCCAGATGAGCGGAGGAGGAGGAGGAGGAGGAGGAGGAGGAGAAGGAGGAGGAGGAGGAGGAGGAGGGGGAGGATGAGGAGGAGGAGGAGGAGGAGGAGGAGGAGGAGGAGGAAGGAGGAGGAGGAGGGGGAGGGAGGGGAGGAGGAGGAGGAGGAGGAGGAGGAGGAGGAGGAGGAGGGGGAGGGGGAGGAGGAGGAGGAGGAGGAGGAGGACCAGGAGGAGGAGGAGGAGGAGGAGGAGGAGGAGGAGGAGGAGGAAGATGAGGAGGAGGAGGAGGGGAGGAGGAGGAGGAGGAGGAGGAGGAGAGGAGGAGGAGGAAAAGGAGAGGGGGAAGGTGGGGGGCAGGAGGAGCAGTGGAGGAGGAGGAGGAGGAGGAGGAGGAGGAGGAGGAGGAGGAGGGGGAGGAGGAGACCGACGAGAGGAGGGGAGAGGGACCATGTTGATGAGGAACGAGGGAAGGGGGAAATACGGAAAAGGGAAGGAGTTGAAGGAGGAGAAAAAGGAGGAGGAGGAGGAGGAGGAGGAGGAGGAGAAGGAGGAGGAAGAGGAGGTGGAGGAGGACGAGGGGGAGGAGGAGGAGGAGGAGGAGGAGGAGGAGGAGGAGGAGGAGGAGGAGGAGGTCGGCACGCGGGCGGCGCTGGCCGTGGCCATCGCCGGCGCCCCAGCTCTCCTGGCAGCGCGCGACCTCCGCCTGAACGCCGAGATGACCAAGGTGTGGAACCCGCGCGGGCTGCTGCTCCCGCCGAGCCTCGCGGCCGCGACGGTGGCCGACCTCGCGCGCGTGGGCGCGTGGGCAGCCGCCTCCCGTTCGTCTGCGGCGGGCCGGCGGCGAACGACATCGGCCAGGACCCCGCGGGAACGAGCTTCGGCGCGGCGGTCGCGCTCGAGTCGGCGACCCGCCGCTTGCGCGCGTTCCTGGCGAAACTGGGGCACTTGCACGAGCACGGCCTCCGGCTCCAAGACGAGCTTGCGCTCCTGGCACCTTTTTCAACGGCGCCGCCCTCCACCACGCGCGCGCGCGCACCTACTCGACGAAGACTGCTCCCGCGCCTACGACGACCTGTTCTTGCGTCACGCGGGGGGCGCGCTCGGGCAGCCGTTCACCGCGACCCCGCGCGAGACGGCCTACCTGCCCCTGGCGCGCAGCGGCCTTGGCCGGCACAGGTTGGAGCAACGGCGTCTGCCTGCGTACGTAGGGTCCTGGCAAGCGTGCTTGGCGGAGGTGCGCCATGAGCTGGGCGAGCCTGGCCTCGAGGCCGGCCGCGGCCACGCGACCTGGGGCGGCGCCGCGGCCGCCGCGGCCGAAGAGCGCAAGCACAGGCGCTACCCGGTGCCTGCGCTGCACGCCTTCGCTCTGGAGACGCTTTGCCAGCCTGGCAAGGAGGCGCAGTCCCTGCTGCGCACCTGGGCCGCAGGGGACCCGCAGGTCGTGGCGGCAGCGCGGCAGAGCCTCTCCGCGACAGTGCAGCGCCGCGGCGCGGCGGCTGCCCGCCGCGGACCCCGGCGCGCCGCTTGCGCGTCGCGCGCGGCGCGCCTGAGCTTGCCCGCTCGGGCAGCTGAACCCCGACCGCTGACCGGGCGGCCTGCGCCAGGGGCCGCGGGACAGCACGGCCGCGCGCGCGGCGCAGGCCGGGCTTACAGACAGGGCTGGAAGCCCTCGGGCGCCGCCACTGGCCGCGGCCAGCAAGCGGGCCCGACGCGCTAGCGGGCAGGCGGGCGCCACGCTGCCGCTGGCCACTGCCGCTGGGCGGGCGGGCGGCGGCTCGGAGCTGCTGCTGCTGCTGCTGCTGCTGCTGCTGCTGCTGCTGCTGCTGCTGCTGCTGCTGCTGCTGCTGGACGCGGGGTGCGGCGCGGGCCAGCCTGGCGGGGCGCGCTGGCGGGCTGTCGCGCTGCAGGCGGGGCGAGGCGGGGCGGCGCTGCGGGCAGGGCCTCGAGCGGCGGGCTGGCGCCTGGCGGCGGGGCCGCAAGGTCCATGCCGCAGGCCAGGTGGCCGCGCGGGCAAGGCGCTCGCCTACGCGGTACCGGGCAAGCCAGCTATGGGCCCCGGCCGGCGCGCCCTTTCCTGCTCGGGGGCGGCTCGCCGCCGAGCAGTGGGGCGCACCTGGTGTGGGGTTTGCGCCAGCTCCTGACCACAGCGCTCCGGCCGCGGGAGAGACCCGCGCGCGGCGCAGGAGGAGGAGGAGGAGGAGGAGGAGGAGCAGCAGGAGGAGGAGGAGAGGAAGGGGGAGCGGGAGGAGGAGGGGGAGGAGGAGGAGGGTAAGGGGGACATCTGGGACTGTTTGGGAACGACTGCGGTGGAGTACGTGGATATGTTCGGATTCGTTTTTCTTTCCTCCCTCTTCCTCCTCGTTTTCCCTTCCTCCTCCTTCCCTCCTTCCATCCTTCCCTTCTTCTCCTCATCCTACCTCCTCCCTCCATCCTTCTTCTCCACATGCTCGGATGGAGCATGCGTGATTCTTCATGGGAGGGGGGCGGTAAAGTTTTGAGCCTCCCGGAAAAAAACAGCCAACAAGAAAAAAGGAAATTCGTCGCACACCTCATTTTTTTTTCCGGGGGCGGGGCGCGCGCGGGGCAAAAAAAAAGAGGCGTGCGACGATTTTCTGTTTTTTTTTCGAGGAGGCCAAATTTTTTCCGCCCTCCCCCCTATGAAGCAAATCCCGCATGCTCCTCCCGAGCATGCGGGATTCGCTTCATGGGACCGCGGCCTCCACCCATGAAGCGAATCCCGCATGCTCTCTTCCCTCCTCATTCCCCCTGTTTCCTCCTCATCCCCCTGCAGGAGCTCCGGGGCTCCGGGGCCTCCCGAGGAGCCTCCGGGCTTCCAAGATGCTTCGAGGCTCCTCCCAGGGGGCTCCGGAATCTCCGTAGAAGTTTCCGGGGCTTCAAGGGGCCTCCGGGTCTCCTCCCAGGGGTTTCCGGGGCTCCTCTAGGAGGTTCCAGGGCTGACAGTGATATCGATATTGATATATCGGTAGTGAAATCAGTAGATGATTATAGTTTTGTCGTCCCCCCCTACTTCCTCTCTTATTGTTCCTCGCTGTCATCTTCATCGCTGCCCGCCTGATTATGTCCTTCTCTCTCATCCCTCCTTTGCTTGCCATGCCGCTCGTTTTTGTTTTGGCTTGTCCAGCGCTCCTCCAGTGCTTCGCCGCAGCCTGCTTCAGCAGAGCCATGGGCAATCCCAACAAGGGCACGAAGGCGTACAAAGAGAAGGCCAAGGCCCATAGGAACCAAAACACTAGCAAGCAAAGTACCACCTAGTTAACAACTCTTGGGGGAGAGCCTCACAAAAAAAGAGCAGATATTACGAAATAGCTTCTCAGGCTAACAAGCTGCGGCTGGCTGAGAAGCGCGCGGCCTCCTTCCTGCAGAAGCCGCTCATCCGAGAGGTGATGTTGAAGGCGGCCCGAGCGGCGGTGAAGCCTCTGAAAACCAGGCTTGCCGAAGTCCGCCGCGACGCCGAGCTGGCCAAGACCTGGGGTGGTAAATTTCCACGCGCGCGCACGATGGCGACAATAACTTTTTTCTTTTTGAAATAAGCAACAAAAGCAAACAAACACATGTCGTGCGATGCCCACCAGGAGGCGCGCGAACCAGCACCACCGGGCAAAGTTCGGCCAGAAGAGCCGCGCGGACGCCTTGGAGAAAGCCTGCCAGGCTTCGCACAACAAACAAGAGGATGCCACAGGTTCTGAACAGTTGTTTGTTGACATTTCATTAATAATACACCGTCGTTGATGCCAGTGTATTCACGCAATCAACAGTGATAAAAAATCCGCCACCAATCCAGGACCTCAAGACGACGCACGCCAAAGCGAACACCGACCCCGGCAACTCCCTCAAGCACAACGCGGCGATCGCCAAGGAGCTGCACCGCAGTGAGCCGCCCTGCCCGCGCCAACGCACTGAGCCCAATCACCGAGACAAGCAAAACACGACAACGTATATATATTACACTATTCTTGGATGGCGCGTACCTTTGGCCACGTTCAACACAGGGCATTCAAAAAATGAGTGCCCTCATCAGTAACGCAAACATATTACGTTTAGTGGTAGTGGTAGTATTGGTAGTAGTAGTAGTAGTAGTAGTAGTAGTAGTAGTAGTAGTAGTAGTAGTAGTAGTGGTCGTAGTAGTAGTAGTAGTAGTAACAGTAGTGATTGTAGTAGTAGTAGTAGTCGTAGTAGTAGTAGTAGTAGTAGTAGTAGTCGTAGTAGTAGTAGTATTCGTATTGTAGTGGCCTTCGGCCAGTGCCGCCGATCCGGGTCGCTCGGGGTTATTCTCCAGACGCAGAAATTATGGGCGCACACTCAAACGCACACACACAGTCACACCACTTAACCTGCGCCGCAGACATGCGCACACAGCATCACCCACACACACATACTAGTTGGGAAACGCTCCTGTAGTACTAGTAGTAGTATTAGTAGTAGTAGTAGTAGTAGTAGTAGTAGCAGTAGTAGTAGTAGTAGTAGTAGTAGTAGTGGTAGTAGTAGTAGTAGTAGTGGTTGTGGTAGTAGTGGTAGTAGTAGTAGAGGCCTCGTTCCGCGGCTTCTCTCGACTTCCCGCGGTCTCTCTCAAGTTTCGAGCACGCGGTGAGTTTCACGATATATGTGTGTGTATGTACGCGTGCATGCATGTATGCATGCATTGATCATGTGTGCCTGTGTGTAGGTACGTATGTATGTATGTATGCTTGTGCGCGTATGTATGTATTTAGTTTGTATGTATGTTTGTATGTGTGTATGATAATATGTGTGTATGTGTGTGAATGTAAGTATGTATGTCTGGAAGATTGTTTTTCTATGTATGCAAATGTGTTTAAATGTAGGTATGTATGCATGTGTGTATGGATGTGCGTTTGAAGAGCGAGGATGTTTCAAAGAAGAGGCACTCGGTGACGCGATCGTTGAGGGATAGGAGTGAGGTCGCAGAGGAGGAGGAGGAGAATGAGGAAGAGGCGATAACTTGAAGGAAAACGATGAGACGGAGGACATCCTGCCGGTGGCGCCCTGGGCGGTGCCGCGGAAGAAACCGGGGGCCTGCCGGAGGCAGTCTGGAGGCCTCTGGGGAGCTGTTTTGGGGCCTCTTGGAACCTCTTTTGGGCCTCTTGTGGGCTTCTTGGGGCCCCTTGGGGGTCTCTTGGGGCCTCCTGGGGGCCTCTTGGGGCGGAAAGCTCGGTTCTTTCGGTTCGTGGTCCCCCTCTTGGGCCCCTCTTGGGGCTCTCTTGGGGCCTTCTTGGGCTGTCCAGAGGCCCTCTTGGGCCGTCTTGGGGCCCTCTTGGGCCGTCTTGGGGCTCTCTTGGGCCGTGTTGGAAGCATCGTGGGCCGTCTTGGGACGGACTTGGGGGCCTCTTGGGCCGTCTTCGAGCGTCGGGCGCCCGAAAAGGCAAGAACGCTAAAAACCCTGAGAAAACCAATGAAAATCAACGATTCTGGCCTCTTGGGGCCCTCTTGGGAGGCCTCTTGGAAGCTTCTTGGGGCGTCTTGGAGACACCTTGGGCCGTCTGGAGGCCATCTCGGGCGTCTTGGAGCGATTTTTCGGCGACTCGGGGCCCTCTTGGAACCCCTTGGGGGTCTCTTGGGCCCCCCCCCTCCTCCAAAGCGCCGGAAAAAGCGGAGCATGGCGCCCCCCCCCCCCCTATCTTCCACTCCCCCGGAGCGGCCCCGGGGTTCGCCGGAAACTCGCACCCCCCCCCCCCCTCCCCACCCCCCCTTCCCCGGCAGAGCCACCCCGGCGACCCCCCCAGAGGCTGAAGCTCAGCCTCGAGGCTGTAGCTGAGACTCCTTGAAACTCACACGCCGGATCAGTAGCGATTGTAGTAGTAGTAGTAGTCGTAGTAGTAGTAGTAGTAGTAGTAGTAGTCGTAGTAGTAGTAGTATTCGTATTAGTAGTAGTGGTAGTGGTACTCTTCGTACTAGTAGTCGTAATAGTAGTAGTCGTAGTAGTAGTAGTAGTAGTAGTCGTAGTAGTAGTAGTAGTAGTACTACTACTACTAGTAGTATTAGTATTTTCAATGATGGTAGGAATAGTAGTGGTAGTATCAGTGGTAGTAAGAGTGGTAGTAGCAGTAGGAGTAGTAGTCGTAGTAGTAGTAGTAGAAGTAGTAGTAGCATTAGTAGTAGTAGCAGTGGTAGTAGTAGTCTTACTTGTAGCAATAGTAGTAGTAGTAGTAGTAGTAGTAGTAGTAGTAGTAGTAGTAGTAGTAGTAGTCGTAGTAGTAGTAGTAGTAGAAGTAGCAGCAGTAGTAGTAGTAGTAGTAGTAGTAGTAGTTGTAGTAGTAGTAGTAGTAGTAGTAGTAGTAGTAGTAGTCGTAGTAGTAGTAGTAGTAGTAGTAGTAGTAGTAGTAGTAGTAGTAGTAGTAGTAGTAGTAGTAGTAGTGGTAGTAGTAGTAGTAGTAGTAGTAGTGGCGGTAGTTGTACTAGTACTAGTAGTGGCAGTAGCAGTAGTAGCAGTAGTGTTCGAAGTCGTAATAGTTGTAGTAGGAGCAGGAGTAGTAGTGGTGGTAGCAGTAGCAGTAGTACTCGGCGAAATTATAATAGTAGTAGTAGTAGTAGTAGTAGTAGCAGGAGCAGTAGTAGTAATAGTAGAAGTAGCAGTAATAGTAGTAGTAGTAGTAGCAGTAGTACAAGTAGCATTCGTAGTAGAAACAGTAGTAGTAGTAGTAGTAGTAGTAGTAGTAGCAGCAGGAGTAGTAGTAACAGTAGTAGTGACTAGTAGTAGTAGTAGTAGTAGTAGTCGTAGTAGCAGTAGTAGTAGTAGTAGTAGCAGTAGCAGTAGCAGTAGCAGTAGCAGCAGTAGCAGTAGCAGTAGTAGTAGTCGTAGTCGTAGTAGTAGCAGTAGTGGTAGTAGTAGTAGTAGTAGTAGTAGTAGTAGTAGTAGTAGTAGTAATAGTAGCAGCAGCAGCGTAGTAGTAGTAGTAGTAGTAGTAGTAGTAGTAGTAGTAGTAGTTGTAGTAGTAGTAGTAGTAGTAGTAGTAGTAGTAGCAGTAGTAGTAGTAGTAGTAGTAGTAGTAGTAGTAGTAGTAGTCGTAGTAGTCGTAGTAGTAGAAGCGGTCAGCCAGTTCCGCGGCGTAGTTCGTTTGCATCCTTCGCACTTGCATTCGGTCTCCCGACGAGGCAAGTCGTCAACCCTGCTCGCTGGGTTGCGTTGTGATGTGGCCGCAGCGCACCCTTGGATGTCTCAACGTAGCATGGCCGATGGCATTGCTAGACATATAAAAAGAGCGCGTTAAAAAGAGTGCACACATTCGTCGGGAGCAACAGGGGGACAGAAATTACATAGGAAGAAAAAAGCCGTACAGGTTTACAAGCATATATAGCAAGACAAGAGTGAGCGAGGGAGATCAGAGAGAGATCAGAGAGAGAGAGAGAGAGAGAGAGAGAGACACACAGAGATATGCAGAGAGATAGAGAGAGGATGATATAATGAGAGAGGGGAGGAAAGCGAAAGAGAGAAAGAGAGGAGAAAGAAACAGCTCCCAAATAGTCCCAGATGTCCCCTCCACGGTGGAGGAGGAGGAGGAGGAGGAGGAGGAGGAAGAGGTAGAGCCTAGAGCGGGGCGCGAAGGGCAGTGGGCGGAGAGGGGAGAGAGGAAGGCCGGGAGGAGGATTCGTAGGAGTAGAAGGGGACTGGGAGGTAGGTGGAGACGGAGGTCTGAGCAGCAGCAGCGGAGGGAGCAATGGTGTCCTCGTGTCGGTCGGTTCGGCTGCGTCGCAGTCGGCGGTGCTCGGTCGGTTCGGGTCGATCGGTTGTCGTCTCGTTGCTGCATCGCTGCGCCGTCTTGCGGCCTGTCATGTGCGGTTTCGCTGTCAGTTTGATCGTTTGTCGTTTGTGTCGCCGTGGATGGTTTGGGGAAGCAGAGAAGGGGAGGTGGAGGTGGGGGAAGGTGTAGGAGAGAGGAGGAAGGTGGAGGAGGGACAACTAGGTGGGAGCAGGGGCCTCCTGTGAGCCCTTTGGGGCCCCCCATGGGGCAGTGCCAGGAACCAGGCGAAAGCGCCCAGTGTGAATACAACGCCCAAGTCTAAGGGTGGACCATCGGAGGGGCACTTGTGCCGTTTTGCTGTTCGTTCGTTTCCCAGCCCTCCTCCGAGGTCGTTGTGACCCACTACCCCCCGATCTGGGGCAGGGACGACTGGTCGTACCTCGCCGCCAAGCACGGCATCGACCTGATCGCGTCTGGACACATACACAAGCAGGAACATCGGCGTCGCCCCCGTGGCCTTGGAAAAATAATCCGCCTGGAGGCAGGGAGTTTTCCGAATAGTCAAAATTGCATGGGAAGTTGGGGGGCGAGACTGCAGTGAAACGGAGAGCCCCCCACAGGGAAATCGGTTTCGGATTCGTGTTCGTATCGCGCGTGCGGGCGAGGTGAAGCTTCGTCGGCTAGCGAGATGAGTGAACCTTCCGTTGCTACAACGAAAGCGGGCTCAATGATCCCCCCCCCCTGGTTGACCAGCGGTGGTTCGGGGGTGTCGTGCCGGTGTTCCGTGGTGTCCCGTGGTGTCCCGTGGCGCTGTGTCCCGTAGTGTCCCGTGGTGGGCAGTGGTGTCACGTGGTGTCCCGTGGTGTCCCGTGGCGCGGTGTCCCGTGGTGTCCCGTGAGATCGGGTGTGGGATCGATACACGTCGGTCGTTGAAAGTAGGTTTTTTGGATTCCCAGATCCCAATCTACTTTAAGCGCCTTCCTATTTCAAGAACTGATATTGTTAGTTGTTTTTTTGCGGCGGGCGCAAATCTAACATTTTGTTTGGTTGTTTTCATTGTTTTTTTGTTTCGTTGTTGTTGTTGTTGGTTGTCTTTGTTTGTTGTTCGTTGGTGTTTATGTTGTGTTTTAACTAAGTTTTGTTGGTTGTTTGTTGTTCGTTTTTTTGCGTTTTTCCTTCGGCCTGGTTGTTTGTTTTCGCTATTTTCTGTTATTTTCTGTTGCCCGTCGGTGGCTCTGGTCGCGCCTGGCCCCTCGGCTGCTTCATCGGTCGCTCTGCCCTCGGCCCAGCCACTCCTTGGTTGCTTTTGGCTGTTTTTCGCTATTTTCGTTATTTTCTGTCGCCCGTCGGTGGCTCTGGTCGCGCCTGGCCCCTCGGCTGCTTCATCGGTCGCTCTGCCCTCGGCCCAGCCACTCCTTGGCTGTTTTTGGCTGTTCTTCGCTATTTTCTGTTATTTTCTGTTGCCCGTCGGTGGCTCTGGTCGCGCCTGGCCCCTCGGCTGCTTCATCGGTCGCTCTGTCCTCGGCCCAGCCACTCCTTGGCTGTTGTTGGCTGTTTTGTGTTATTTTCTGTTATTTTCTGTTGCCCGTCGGTGGCTCTGGTCGCGCCTGGCCCCTCGGCTGCTTCATCGGTCGCTCTGCCCTCGGCCCAGCCACTCCTTGGTTGTTTTTGGCTGTTTTTTGTTCTCGCTATTTTCTGTTATGTTCTGTTGCCCGTCGGTGGCTCTGGTCGCGCCTGGCCCCTCGGCTGCTTCATCGGTCGCTCTGCCCTCGGCCCAGCCACTCCTTGGCTGTTTTTGGTTGTTTGTCGATCTTTTCTGTTCTGTTCTGTTCTGTTGCCCGTCGGTGGCTCTGGTCGCGCCTGGCCTTCGGCTGCTTCATCGGTCGCTCTGCCCTCGGCCCAGCCACTCCTCGGCTGTTGTTGATTGTTTTTCGTTATTTTCTGATACTTTCTGTTGCCAGTCGGTTGCTCTGGTCGCGCCTGGCCCCTCGGCTGCTTCATCGGTCGCTCTGCCCTCGGCCCAGCCACTCCTTGGTTGTTGTTTGGCTGTTTTGTGATATGTTCGGTGATGTTTTGTTGCCCGTTGGTGGCTCTGGTCGTGCCTGGCCCCTCGGCTGCCTCATCGGTCGTTTTGCCCTCGGCCCAGCCACTCCTTGGTTGTTTTTGGCTGTTCTTCGCTATGTTCTGTTATGTTCTGTTGCCCGTCGGTGGCTCTGGTCGCGCCTGGCCCCATCGGCTGCCTCATCGGTCGCTCTGCCCTCGGCCCAGCCACTCCTTGGCTGTTTTTGGTTGTTTGTCGATCTTTTCTGTTCTGTTCTGTTGCCCGTCGGTGGCTCTGGTCGCGCCTGGCCCTTCGGCTGCCTCCTCGGTCGCTTTGCCCTCGGCCCAGCCACTCCTTGGTTGTTTTGGCATGTTTTTTTCACTATTTTCTGTTATTCTCTGTTGTCCGTCGGTGGCTGTGTTCGCGCCTGGCCCTTCGGCTGCTTCACCAGTCGCCCTGCCCTCGGCCCAGCCACTCCTTGGCTGTTGTTGGCTGTTTTTGGATGTTTATTTCGCTATTTTCTGGTATTTTCTGTTGCCCGTCAGTGGCTCTGGTCGCGCCTGGCCCCTCGGCTGCCTCATCGGTCGCTCTGCCCTCGGCCCAGCCACTCCTCGGTTGGTTGTTGCTGTTTTGTGTTATTTTCCGTTATTGTTTGTTGCCCGTCGGTGGTTTTGGTCGCGCTTGGCCCCTCGGCTGCTTCATCGGTCGCTCTGCCCTCGGCCCAGCCACTCTTTGGTTGTGTTTGGTTGGTTTGCGCTATTTTCTATTATTTTCTGTTGCCCGTCGGTGGCTCTGGTGGCGCCTGGCCCCTCGGCTGCCTCATCGGTCGCTCTGCCTTCGTCCCAGCCGCTCATTGGTTGTTTTTGGCTGGTTTTCATTATTTTCTGTTGCCCGTCGGTGGCTCTGGTCGCGCCTGGCCCCTCGGCTGCCTCATCGGTCGCTCTGCCCTCGGCCCAGCCACTCCTTGGTTGTGTTTGGCTGTTTTGTCCTATTGTGTAGATTTTCTGTTGCCCGTCGGTGGCTCTGGTCGCGCCTGGCCCCTCGGCTGCCTCATCGGTCGCTCTGCCCTCGGCCCAGCCGCTCCTTGGTTGTTGGTTTGGTTGTTTTTGTTTGTTTCTGCTATGTTTTGTTTCTTGTCGGCGGCTCTGGTCGCGCCTGGCCCCTCGGCTGCCTCATCGGTCGCTCTGCCCTCGGCCCAGCCAGTACTTTGTTGTTTTTAGTTGTTTTGTGTTATTGTCTTGTATTTTCTGCTGCCCGTCGGTGGCTCTGGTCGCGCCTACCCCTTCGGCTGCCTCATCGGTCGCTCTGCCCTCGGCCCAGCCACTCCTTGGCTGTTTTTGTGTTGTTCTGTGATGTTTTCTGTTATTTCCTGTTGCCCGTCGGTGGCTCTGGTCGCGCCTGGCCCCTCGGCTGCTTCATCGGTCGCTCTGCCCTCGGCCCAGCCACGCCGTGGTTGTTTTTGGCTGGTTTGTGTTATTTTCTGTTATTTGTTGTTGCCCGTCGGTGGCTCTGGTCGCGCCTGGCCTCTCGGTTGCCTCATCGGTCGCTCTGCCCTCGGCCCAGCCACTCCTTGGTTGTTGTTGGCTGTTTTGTGATATTTTCTGTTATTTCCTGTCGCCCGTCGGTGGCTCTGGTCGCGCCTGGCCCATCGGCTGCCTCATCGGTCGCCCTGCCCTCGGCCCAGCCACTCCTCGGTTGTGTGTGGTTGTTTTGTGTTGTTTTCGGTTATGTTCTGTTGCCCCTCGGCTGCCTCGTCCTCGCTCTGCCCTCGGCCCAGCCACTCCTTGGTTGTTTATGGTTGTTTTGTGTATGTTCTGTTATGTGTTGTTTCCCCGTGGGTGGCTCTGGTGGCGCCTGGCCCCTCGGCTGCCTCATCGGTCGCTCTGCCCTCGGCCCAGCCACTCCTTGGTTGTGTCTGGCTGTTTTGTGTTATTTTCTGTTAGTTTCTGTTTCCCCGTGGGTAGCTCTGGTCGCGCCTGGCCCCTCGGCTGCCTCATCGGTCGCTCTGCCCTCGGCCCAGCCACTCCTTGGTAGTGTTTGGTTGTTTTGTGGTATTTTGTATTATTTTCTGTTGCCCGTCGGTGGCTCTGGTCGCGCCTGACCCCTCGGCTGCTTCATCGGTCGCTCTGCCCTCGGCCCAGCCACTCCTTGGCTGTTGTTGGCGGTTCTTCGCTATTTTCTGTGATTTTCTGTTGCCCGTCGGTGGCTCTGGTCGCGCCTGGCCCCTCGGCTGCTTCATCGGTCGCTCTGCCCTCGGCCCAGCCACTCCTTGGCTGTTTTTGGTTGGTTTGTGTTATTTTCCGTTATTTTCTGTTGCCCGTCGGTGGCTCTCGTCGCGCTTGGCCCCTCGGTTGCCTCATCGGTCGCTCTGCCCTCGGCCCAGCCACTCCTCGGCTGTTTTTGTTTTTTTTGGTTCGCTATTTTCTGTTATGTTCTGTTGCCCGTCGGTTGCTCTGGTCGCGCCTGGCCCCTCGGCTGCTTCATCGGTCGCTCTGCCCTCGGCCCAGCCACTCCGTGGTTGTTTTTGGCTGTTCTTCGATAGTTTCTGTGATTTTCTGTTGCCCGTCGGTGGCTCTGGTCGCGCCTGGCCCCTCGGCTGCTTCATCGGTCGCTCTGCCCTCGGCCCAGCCACTCCTTGGCTGTTTTTGGTTGGTTTGTGTTATTTTCCGTTATTTTCTGTTGCCCGTCGGTGGCTCTCGTCGCGCTTGGCCCCTCGGCTGCCTCATCGGTCGCCCTGCCCTCGGCCCAGCCACTCCTTGGCTGTTTTTGGTTGTTTTGTGTTATTGTCCGTTATTTTCTGTTGCCCGTCGGTGGCTCTCGTCGCGCCTGGCCCCTCGGCTGCCTCATCGGTCGCTCTGCCCTCGGCCCAGCCACTCCTTGGCTGTTCTTGTTTTTTTCCGTATTTTCTGTTATTTTCTGTTGCCCGTCGGTTGCTCTGGTCGCGCCTGGCCCCTCGGCTGCTTCATCGGTCGCTCTGTCCTCGGCCCAGCCGCTCCTTGGTTGTTTTTGGCTGTTTTTTCGCTAGTTTCTGTTATTTTCTGTTGCCCGTCGGTGGCTCTGGTCGCGCCTGGCCCCTCGGCTGCCTCATCGGTCGCTCTGCCCTCGGCCCAGCCACTCCTTGGTTGCTTTTGGCTGTTTTTCGCTATTTTTTGTTATGTTCTGTTGCCCGTCGGTGGCTCTGGTCGCGCCTGGCCCTCGGCTGCTTCATCGGTCGCTCTGCCCTCGGCCCAGCCACTCCTTGGCTGTTTTTGTTGCTGTTTTTTGGGGGGGGCTATTTCCTGTTATGTTCTGCTGCCCGTCGGTGGCTCTGGTCTCGCCTTGCCCCCTCGGCTGCCTCATCGGTCGCTCTGCCCTCGGCCCAGCCACTCCTTGGCTGTTTTTGGTTGTTTTGTGTTATTTTCCGTTATTTTCTGTTGCCCGTCGGTGGCTCTGGTCGCGCCTGGCCCCCCGGCTGCCTCATCGGTCGCTCTGTCCTCGGCCCAGCCACTTCTTGGTTGTTTATGTTTTTTTTGTTGTTGTTGTTGCTATGTTCTGTTATTTTCTGTTGTCCGTCGGTGGCTCTGGTCGCGCATGGCCCCTTGGCTGCCTCATCGGTCGCTCTGCCCTCGGCCCAGCCACTCCTCGGCTGTTTTTGCATGTTTTCGGTTATTTTCTGTTGCCCGTCGGCACAGCCACTCCTTGGCTGTTTTTGGTTGTTTGTCGCTATTTTCTGTTATTTTCTGTTGACCGTCGGTGGCTCTGGTCGCGCCAGGCCCCTCGGCTGCCTCTTCGGTCGCTCTGCCCTCGGCCCAGTCACTTCATGGTTGTTTTTGGCTGTTTTTCGTTATTGTCTGTTGCCCGTCGGCCCAGCCACTCCTTGGCTGTTTTGGGTTGTTTGTCGCTATTTTCTGTTGCCCGTCGGTGGCTCTGGTCGCGCCCGGCCCCTCGGCTGCGTGTTCGGTCGCTCTGCCGTCGGCCCAGCCACTCCTTGGTCGAGGGGCCGATTGACCCAGGGCTATCGCGCGCCGCTGAGACAGGGCCCGGGAAATTTTGTAATCTACTTTTGTAATTGTTGTTGCTGTTGTTTTCTTTGGCGGCCCCGAACGCAATCTACTTATTCCGCCTTCCTACTTCATGTTTCTACCTACTTCTTCCGACCGACGTGTAATGAAATCAATTGTGACATCGATTGGCAAATCGATAGCGAAAACGAAAGTGACGCCGATTGTGATACTGATAGATCGTGAGGTCAGTAGATAACAGGATATCGATCGTATGTTAGTATGTCCGATACGAAGCGAGTGTGATATCGATAAACAGATGGCCAAACAGGAGTTCCGTGGTGCCCAATTGGTTCCCGCCGGATCCGATCCTACAGTGAGCGGCTTGAGTAAGGAACACTTACTTTTCAAAAGGGGCTCGGTCGTTCCTTCGGCTTGCATGCGTTAGTTACAGTTCCTTATGCGTTATTTGTTATTTATCGTTCCTTATGCGTTATTCCTTGGGATAAAAAAGGGGCTTCGTTCCTTATTTATCGTTCCTTAGGTCAGGCCGATGACTGTACCCCAATCGCACGCCGAAAGCTGAACTCCCCACAACCTCCTTATCACCCGAGGGGTGGTCGTATCGAATGGGCTTCGGCCCATCCAGCCACCGTTGTTGGGTTGTGGGTCTCGTGGGAGGCCTCTCGGGGGTTTCTTGCATGCAGTTTGGAGGCCTCTTGGGGTCCGCGTTCGGGGCCTCTTGGCCTCTTGGGGCCTCCTGGGTGCCTCTTGGGGCGGACGGCTAGAATTGTCGGTTCCTGTTCTTCTCTTGGGCCCCTTTGGGGCCGTCTTGGGGCCCTCTTGGGGCCGTCTTGGGGCCCTCTTGGGCCGTTCAGGGCACCTCTTGGGCCGTCTTGAAGCCCTCGTGGGCCGTTTTGGGGCCCTCTTGGAGGCCTCTTGGGCCGTCTTGGGGCTGTCTTGGGGGCCTGTAGGGCCGTCTGGGGGCGTCGGGAAGCCGAAACGGCGAGAACGCCAAAGTCTTTCAAAAACCCTAGGATAGTCAGTGATTTGGTCCTCTTGGGGCCCTCTTGAAAGGCCTCTTGGAGGCCTCTTGGGGCGTCTTGGAGGCCTCTTGGGCCGTCTGGGGGCCATCTTGAGCGTCTTGGAGCGACCGTTCGGAGACTTCGGGGCCCTCTTGGACCGTCGTGGGGGGCCCTCGAGGCTCTCTTCGCCCGCCTCGGGGCCCTCGTAGGCCCGAAACGTCACGCGACAAGATGCGGGGGAGCCAAAGGGGGCACGCGCCGAGCCCTGGGAGATCTGGGGGCCAGGGGCCCGGGCCCCCGGAAGGGCCCTCGGGAGCGAGGCGTGGAGCTCGGAGGGCTGGGCAGAGGACCCGGGGAGGCGGCCACTGCGCGCCCAGCGGCGCGGTGGCGGATAGGCGACACGCACAAGTTTTCGGAGGTCCGCGCCGCCCCCCCCCCCCCCTGGCGGCTATCGCTGCCCCCGACGCGCTGTGGGCGCCAGGGAGGGGGGGCTGGCACAGATCCAAGCCACCCGCGTGGACCTCCGAAAGTTTATGTTCATTCGGTTCCTCGTTTTTTTTCAGGCCTGGGATGAAGGATGACCTGGGGTTTCCCTCCGTGTTCGGCCTCCGGTGCCTCTCCCTTCCTGGGACCCAGGTCTGCCAAACAACAATTCATTATTCAGGAGGAGAAAAAACACACAGACACAATTAATCGTCGATTTCCCAGAAAGCATTGGAAAATATGGGCAGTGGGGGGGAGACAGAAATCCAGAAAATATAGAAACATGTTGGGAATCCGTTTATTTGTGTGTATTTATTTGTGTGTGTGTGTGTGTGTCCCAGGGCCCCTTCAATTATGAAACAACTGTTCCAGGGAAGGTCTCGGAATCCAGGACCTGCTCCCTCCAGGACCCTTGTCTTGCAACCCGATGACTTGCCTTTGCGCGACCCCGTGAGCCGTGAGCATGGCGAACGCCGACGTCGGTTGGCGGCTGTCACACCGCTCCTCGACACTGTCCTTGAACCAGGAAGGCCCCTCCGGCTGTCAGGACGTCTCCTGCTCTCCAAGCGCGCGAAGCAAACTATCCTCACCCCTCTGTCCCTTCCGCCTTGTCCGCGTTCCTGCCTCGTCACGTTGGCCCCAGCCTCCCGCCTCTGCATCCATCTCGTTGCCTCTCCCTCTCCTTCGGCGGGCTGCCTGGACAGCCAGAATTCAAGGCCAGCCGGCGCTGTAACGCGGCGTGCATGGTTCACTACCTCGTTCTCCTTGTCCTCCTCCTTCCGCTACTAACAGTGGCATCCGAGCACCCGCCCGAGGAGCTGCACCACCTCGGCAACAACTTCCTGAAGCCGACCGCGTACCTGATCACTGGCGGGGGCGGCGGCATCACCTCTGAGGGCCCCCCAACCAGGACTTCAGGGGCAAAGTTCGGAGGATGGGCTCACGAGGTGCTGCATCGACCCCCCCAGTCGCCCACTCATCGCTGATGGTGGCCCGATAGGGCCGCCACGCCCAAGAATGAGCGGTATCGCCGATCCATGCTCGATGTTTCCCTTCCCCCCCCCTCCCTGAGGTGGTCCCCCCCGATCGCTCCCCCTCAAGGACGGGCCACGACGACCAGTACGGCTTCGTGGACGTCACTCTCTCGCGGACGGTGCTGAGGACCGACCTGGGTAAGTCGCTCTCCCAGGCTTCTCTGGGTCCAGTCGTTCCCAGAAAGATCGCTGGAGATGTGTATGCGTTTTGAGAATCGGGGGGGGCCCAGGGACAGTCCACGGAACGACTGCGGATGACAAACCGACCTGGGGGAACGTCCGGCCACGGGTGTCGTGTGTCCTTCGAGGGCTTTGTCTCTCCTGCGGGGCCGGCTGCTCGCTGCGGGCCGTTGTTTGCAGGCCCCAGGGCCCGAAGTTTCACGGCGGCCACCTCGACGGTGGCGGGCCGGCACAGCGCTGCGCCGCTGCCTACGGTGACACAGGCAGCGGGCGTTGCCGTTCGGAGGGCGGTGGTGAATGCAGCGTCTAGCCGACCGAGGGAGCAGATCCGAATTTTGACAGTAGAGTATCCGGGGGGAGATGTTGAGGACGTGATTGGCCTCATCCGGGGCGTCCTGGTAGCCTTCGCAGTTCTGGCCAGGGCCCCCGCGGACATGTCCAGGGAGCGATGAACCCCCGCATCCAAAGTGGAATTCTTGTTTTCTCTGGACACCCCCCCGCGCTGGAACACATCACCCCGTCCCCACCTCTGTTCTTCACTCACGCACTCACACACATCATCACCATCATCAGCAGCAGCATCAGCATCAGCATCAGCATCAACATCATCATGATGCTCATCATCATCAGTACCCATATGGGCTCGAGCTTTCCAGGGGGAGAGCGAGCGCAGCCCATCCGATCTGCTTCAGAGTCCGTCCACCGTACTCGTGGCGGTACCGACAGTGTGATCACTGCAGAAGGTCGGTTGCCAACTTTGTGGAGCTCAGTACTTCGTATCCGTGCGAGGAGAGATGGGAAAGCAGCGCAGCTCAAGATCAGCGGGCCTGCCGCCCGCAAGACCAAGGTCATCGATATGATCCAGAAGGCTTGGGGCGATCGCGCCACCGCGGCCTACAACGAACTTTGCCACAAGGACCACGTGGGGCTGGACCAGCTGCTGGCCACGACCCCCGACGAGCAAGCGCCAAGAACCATCCAGAAACCTTTGACCAAACATTGAATTTCGTGGGCCCATGAGGACTAACTGCGAAAAGCAATCGCCAATGCCGTGACTGATGGTGAAACGACAGACAAAGGGAATGGGAAAGGCAAAAACAAAACCGCAGTGGCGACGCCAATTTGCGTTTGACGAGAAGGACTGGTCGGTGCCCATCGCCCAGGCCCCGAAAAAAATTACCGAACGGCGAGTGCGAGTCATCGGTCTCGCCCCACTCCATGGTCGATGCTGAGAAGTGGTGCACCGCCATGCGCCACCAGAAAGAGCCTATCGCGATCGTGGCCATCGGCAGCGGTGGCTCGCAGTGGGCCCGCGTGAAGATCCAGATTCCCGTTCTGAAGGTCCCGCGCGGCGCGCAGGTGCCGCGCAAGACTTTCTCATGGACGGCTTCGTGTACCAGTTTGGCGAGACGGAGGTTTACCTAAAGACCAACATCGCCCAGCTGGCGCCAGCGGCAGGCAACGCGACGCGCACGCGGATTACTACCCACGAGGTTGACACCCCGTTGGTCAACCCGAGCATGAAGACAGGTTTTAGCAACCAGTTCAGCGGAGCAGCGCCCACCGTGGTTGGGTGCCAGAAGTCCGAGAACAAGCTAGGCAGTACGGCGAACGAGCGCTGGAGACAGGCCCGACGCACAGATGCCAAGCTCAATATTGGCAATGGCCTCCGCGACGTCACCAAGTCGACCATGACTGCCATCTGCCCCGGGATCGAATGGCAGGGCGTGCCCAGCCGTCTACGTCGCGCTGGCAAACAAGAGGGATAACGCACCTTGGGCGCGGCGCTAGCGGTCGCCCACGACGACGCCGACAGTTTGATGAAGTTTCCGGGCGACCAGGGCATCGCGTTCGCCTGCTCTGACATCGGCGCCAAGTCCGACATTCAGGAGAAGGACGAAGAGCGCATCCAAGTCGTCTGGTTCAACAAGACCATCTCCGCGCAGGAGGCCCACTCGCTGGCCAAAGGCTACAATGCCGCGGTCGGGGCCACCAAGGGCGACCGTGTGCAATTCGACCTACGCATCCTGAGGGGGCCCCAGGAGGTCTCGGCAGCAGCCGCAGCAGTTCGAGGCTCTGCCGCCGCGCTGGCGCGGCGCAAGTGGCGGATCGGCAACGTCCCCATCGGCCAGGCGACCAAGGGCCAGGTCCTCGAGGCGGCCCAGTCCGTCGGCTTGTCCCCTGACGTCGTCTACGTCGGCTACGACGGCAACGAAAAGGTCAACTTCGCCATCGCGCGCTCCGACGCGGAGCCCGAGAACATGCGCTGGAAGCTCGGCTCCGCCAAGCCTCGGGTCGGCACGGAGGACGCCCCAGGCGTCGCGGCGGCAGCCGAGGGTGTGAATCCGACGGTGGCTCCTACAGTGGTGCTGGCCAACGCGCTGGCTAAGCTGTCGGCCGCCTCGCCTCCGGACTGGCGTGCGGGGCCGTCGGGCGAGGCGGGCGCGCCGCCGCGGCTTTTCGGCGCTCCGCGGTCAGCCTCCAGAGGCCGCCAAGTCTGCTAATGCGCACTACGGCGCCATGGGGGCAGACGAGGAGAAGGACGCGAACGAGGCTTCGCCGCGGCCAGTTCCAGTCCGACTACCCGATGCGGAACATCAGCGTCTACGAGCTCTGGAGGCCGGCGTCGACGCGCAGCAGGCCACCGTGGCCAATTTGCAGAGCGCGCTCGCCAAGCAGGCGATGGCGACCACGGCGCTCAACGGCAAGGTGGGCGAGAGCATCTCATAGACCCAGAAGGCGGTGGCGGAGCTCCGCCTGCAGAGCAAGACCATCAACGGCGCGATCTCGACAACCAGACCGCGCTGCAGGCGACCTCATGGGGGATCTGGAAACAGATGGACGCTCAGAGCCAGGGTGAGCGCCCCGAGGAGCCCATGGAGAAGTCGCCGCGCGTCACGGCCTGAAGGTGCCCAAGGAAGGCCAGCCTTGCCTTTCGTTGGGAGGTTCGGTCTAAAGATCGTGGGGGGTTGTGCAGCTGAACGTGTTAAGCCATTTCTACTTCGCGGGTGCGATCACCATGGGCAGCTTATGGGACGCGGCGACGGGAGCGGCTGCCACTCCCCTGCCATGGACATCGCGAACCTCTACACCTTCGGGTCGCTCCTTAGTCAACGCGACTGCCACAGCGACGCGCAGGGCACATTCCTCCACTTCGGTTTCTACGACAGCCAAGTTTTGTTTGGGTCAGGAACGCCCTTGCAGTCGTGCCCCTCGAGCGTCTGCAGGGCTCGGCCGCCGCAGCTTTTGCTAAGGCAGTTCAAGCAGCGTCCGAACGTCAACGCCGACATGGGCATGCCAGGACTCAGCCATGTTTTGCCGGGGTCAGGAGTGCCCGCGCGGTTTTGCAAGGGTCAGGAACGCCCTCGCAGCCGTGCCTCCTGAGCGGCCGCAGGGCTCAGTCTCCGCGCAGTTTTGCTGGGCGGCGGCAGTTCGCCCGACGCCCTCTCGGAGACCGCAGGGCGAACGAGAGCAATCGACTGCGGGGTGCTGGACGAGCATGGCAGCGCTTATTTTTGCACGTGGGAGTTATTTTCTCGTGCGCGGGGCGGCCTGGCGCCAAGGCACATCGCGCGCGCCCCTACTCCGACTCTCTTCAAGTCGACGGACCTGATTCGCATAGGCTGGTGTCGCTCAACGTCGCGTCTGTGCAAGCGCATTGGGAGCTACTGCGCTCGGCGATCGCGGAGTGGCCGCAGGGGCGCCACAAGAAGCACGACATACTCAACTACAGATATCCGACATGAACAACCAGCTGGGGCGCCATGGATGGAAAGCAAACTGGGGGCCGCCGCTCAAGCCCGTCGCCCGACAGGTAGCGGCGAAGCAAGGCAAGCGCCCCTACGTTACCGAGGGCGTTGTGGCGGGCCATGGGGAAGTTGCTATCATCGCGCCAACCGCCGTACCCGCTGTGCCTACACCTGCACGACATCCAGTTCATGAGCGCCCTCTAGCCACCGAGGGATGGAAGGAAGTCTTTGCCCCTATTCCTACCAGCCAGGGCAAGCACGTCACGGGCCACTACCTCGCTACCCACTGCGGGTTTGCGGCGAAATCGAACGGCGCGCTCGTCGCGGACGCTTGGCAAGCGGCAGCGCTGCGCGGCTTTGCAGCGCCCTACTTTGCGGTCCTGGACGTGCAGTGCGACATTACGGAGTCGGCCTACTTGGGTTGGCTCATACAGGAGGGGGGCCGGGTCAACGTCGCGCAGGGTTTCGACGATCATGGCGCCATGACCTACGGACGCGACCCCGCGTGGAACCGCTGCGATGCGCAGGGCCACGCGTCCCGCATTTGCGATCTCCGCTGCCCTGGCCATCTCGGCCCGGGGCCTTATTCAGCTCGCGTACGCCGTTGGGAAAAGCCCAAGCAGTACGACGTCAACGCCATCGCCATGCCCTACGAGGAGGGGGGGGCACTCGGCGAGATGATCGCCAAGCAGGCCGAGACCGAGATCGCCAACGTGGCCGGCAACCCTGAGCAGCTCTTCGAATTCGCGACCAAGTTCGGCGAGGATTTCTTGGAGATGCGCTGCGACGGACACGATAAACCTGGTACTCGAAGACGGGGCAGGGCCCCACGCTTTGTCATGTTCTGGGCGGCCCCCTCCTATCTCGCTTGCCCCGGGCACGATGTCCCAGACCGAGTGCCGGTGCACATATCAGCCCGCGCGCTGCGCGCTACGAGCACAGGGGGGCAGGCAGCCACGTGGACATTCAGCTTTACCGTCACTTGCGGGCCGACATGTGCAAGCAGGTCCGGGAACTTCAACCAGTATGTGCTCAGTGGCCAGGTTGGTGGGCGCCGTTTGCATGGGCCTCGCCATCAGAAGCTCAAGCAGCCGCCGGCCATGTCTTGGCCGAACGGACCCAGCACGCGGAGGCAGCACAACGCCAAAGGCCACAGCCATGGCGAGATCGCATTGCAGTTTCCTGCAAGCAAGGTCGTCGAGAGGTGCCTGCCTGGGCAAAGCGCAATCCCACGCCCCAGCTGCCTTACTAAAAAGCCCGACACCCACGACATCCCCACGAACCCTCAGGACATCGCCAAGTTGATGCAGGCTACCAGGGAGCCCAGGATGGCGAAAAAACAAATGAACAAACCAGGCCCCGACGTGGGCCGACTTCAAGCGCGAGTTCCAGGACGAGCTCCCCCCTCGTTCTCCGTGCCTTGAGTCCTATCTGAGTGATGCTGAGGTTTGCGCTTTTCCACCGGCCCGCCCCTCTCGCAGGGCTGGGGGTCTTGACGGGTGGGCGACGGCAGAAGCGAAAGCATTGCCAGCGGCCATCAAGGCGACGATTGCCGCGGCTTTGCGCGAGCTGCAGATTCGGGTCAGGCCCCCTCGGCTCTAACCCACGTTCCGAACCCAGCTCTGAGGAGGCTTGGCTCCTGGGAGGTCCCGACGCGCCGAATACCAAGGACCTGGAGGCGCAAGTGGTGCCATCCCGCGAATTTCGGAGCCACGGCGGGGGCTTGGCTTCCAGATGTCTCGGCAAGATTTGCCTTGCAGGTCGAGTGGTCCAGGCGCGGCGAACACCGGGTACGCGGCCTTTGGATCGGAAAATGTGCTTCGACCTGCCGGTGAGCGAGATGTGCATCGAGCTTCAACGGCATGCGGGGCGCCCCGAGAGCGCGCTGCGACTTCGGGAAGTTTTGCATGGCAAGCATTTCCGCGAACTCCGAATGCCAGGCACTTACAGCGAGCCCCTGCTGATAACAAACGCCCATCTGCAAGGATCTGCGTTCAGCGCTGCTGGTATCAAATTTTTCATTTACGTATGGGCTGCTCGACACCACAGAATTATAGCTAGTTCGCTATCGATTTCATTCACTGACGACTCCAACTCGACCTTCTGGGGCATGGCAGGCATTCGCGAGTCACCTCGTCAGTCTGCGCTTTTCGGCCAGGCCTTGGGGCAGGAGCTTGACCTCGGCAAGCTGGCGTCGTGGGCCGCGGGCAGGGAGATGATGCAGGAGCTGGAGGCCACCGAGGTGCTGGGCCACAACCTCCCCGTCAGGCGTGCCTGCAGGCTCGTCGGCAGCCAGATCGCCACCAGAGGCGAGGACGACACCGCGCTCATGGACGGCCGCTCTCGCGATGCTGTCCAGCGGCTTCGCCGAGTTCAACGGCTACCTGTTCCTTTACACAAACGTGCAGACGTCGCTCAAGCCTTGGCGGCCTCGATGATCGCGGTCGGGGCTGATTTGGGCCCGCCCCACAATATCCAGATGCGCGACAACTACCAGGCCCAGCTCGCAGAACTCATGCCAAAAGGGAGACAGTGGACATGCCAGTGGATTTCGTTGGGCTGTTCTGAAAAGGTCATCTTCTCGGTCCACGTTTCCGATCTCCGCGAGCCCCTCAACAACGCGCTTATTTGGCTGACCTTCTCGATTGCATCCAGGACGTGACGACCGCCCACCCTGGGCCAGCGCGCACCTTCATCGAGATGCTGGAGCAGCTCAGGTGGAGGTGACCCGACTTCGACACGCGACCGACCTTGGCACCCATATCATGTAGTTGGAGGGGCACAGCGATTTTCTCATGCACCATCTTCGTGGTTCGCAGAGACGCTTGTTCGATCGACGAATTCCAGTAACACGACATGAGCTGGGATACGTTTCGCAGCAACCATATGGATTGGACACGGTGGCAAATTCGCGGCCACTGCGATCCACGGGCAAGAAGTGGCGGCTGACAAGCTGGCAGATAGGATTGCTCTCGGTATTTATGGCCGGTGGAGACCGTGCACAGCAGGGGCTACAACGATCGTGTATAGCAGAAAATGCCGACGCTAAATGCAGGTCTTGGTGATCGCAAACAAGAGAACCAATAACATATACTATGGACGTGTTCGTGCTGGTCGGCCGAGCGGGGGGCCTTGCTCCTTCTGCCCCAAGCCCAGGAGGTTGAACGCGAGCAATGGCCGCCGACAGCCCGACGCTGCGGCCCCACCTTCATGCACCACGAAACTGCCATGCTCAACAATGTCATGGTTTCCGAGCCCGAGCGCCCACGGCATCGACCTCCGCCCGAGCTGGACGGGGGCCCCGCAGAGGACCGGGTCGACTACGAAATCGACGGCGACGGCAAGCGTTGGATGGCCGTCGTGACAGACGGCGCGTGCCGTTTCCTCAAGAACCCTTGGCTCGCGCGAGCGGGCTACGCTATCTCCGTTGCCCATCGGCGCAGGCTCAACTGTGCGGCGAAGTTGGGAGGGCCCCGCCAAAGCAGTGCACGCGCAGAGGCCACGGCGCTGCTACACCTCGTGTGCGTGGCGGAAGTGCCCGCGTGGATCTCCTGTGACAGTGAGCAGCGCGGGAAATAGTTCCAGAATTTGCTGGGGGAGGCGCCCCACCTTCAGGCACTTGGTACGACGTATGGCATCACATTCAGACCGCGCTCGACAGCAATAGCGACATGTTCCAGATCGAGCATGTCTTCTCGCGCCAGGGCGGGGGCGGAGTGGACCGCGGAGCCGCCTCGCCCCTCGCCGAAGACATGAATGAAGAAGTAGACCAGCTTGCCGCTGACGCCGCCAAGTTGCACCCCCTCCCGACCTCAGTAATTAACAGAGCCAGGGGCCGATTTCCCTTGACCGCTATTATGCATAGAACTGCCGTGGAGATCCTAGAGAAGCGAGCCCTCACCCGACCCCTGCCCCATCGGTCCGCGAGGTACTCTGAGGCCCACCTTGCTCGTCTCGCTCTTTGATCCTCCGCCCCTCTC